AAACAGTTTTGACAGAACAGAGGACAAAGAGTTCCCCATCCACAGCACCGCTGCATTGAACTGCAGCAGTGCTGTGGAGCACAAGTCAGTTTGGATCCCTTCAAATGACTTCATTAATATCTGTGGAGGAGAGCAGCAGGACACAAATAAAAACTGTAGGAAAACTACTAAACTAAACTTCAACTAAACTAAAATAGCCCTCGGGAGAGTGTATACCTCCACCAAGGCCCAACAGTCTTAAACTTAATCAAGCCCACCAAAGTGCGAACACTTGCATGCATAACATGCATAAAAACAGAAAAAACAATATAAGATTGCAGGAGTGCGGGCTAGTGCATTTTGGCTTTCTGATACTATTCCAATTCTATTTCTATTTTAGAAGGAGTTCAACTCCCGTTAATAAACTTGATTTTGAATCTATAACTCATCTCTTGGTGAATGAGAAATCAAGGACAGCGGTTGTGGCACCATGTTTGTCTTTTCTGTTCTCTGACTGCCGACTGTCCTCCACAGAACAGGAGGCAGCTCTCTGTGGCAGTGGGTTAGGGTCAGAGCAGGTCACTCAGTCTTGTAAGGCCACTTCGAGACAGATGAAGACAAACTCTCTCTATAATGTGACTTTTATGGCCTCTGGTCAGGACAGTGGTCGACACGACTTTACACAACAGAGGGAGCTATAACATGTTTGTGTGGAGAACACAAACTCTTGAGCTCTTGGGGAAGTTTAGCACCAAATGCTGTCATGTCTCATGTGCTTTGGTCCTGTTTTATATAAAAGAGAGTTTTCATTTCGATTATGGACTGTGTTTTTCTCATGTTTGGATTTGTGTTTTAAGTTTTGCTCCCTGTTTCCCTCTCTTTGTCCCTCTCTTTGTCCCTCTCTGTGTCCCACCCTGTGTCCCACCCTGTGTCCCACCCTGTGTCCCACCCTGTGTCCCTCTCAGTTTTCCTCTGTGTTCATCTCTGTTTCCTGTTTTATTTTGTAGTCTCTGCTCCTTGCTGGACTTCCTGCCCTCGTCAGTTCACCTGTCTTCCTGTGCCACCTGTCTCTAGTTTGTCATTAGTTCAGTGTGTATTTGAGTCTTTGTGCTTCTCTTGATCTTGGTCAGTTCGTTGGTGTACCACGTCTTCCCATGTGTCGTGTCACCACTCGTCGTTGTGTCTACTCAAGTAAGTTCTCTAGTGTTTCCTGTGTTCTGCTGAAGAGCAATTTTTAGTTGCTGTTATTTTGGATTTTGTCTGTGTGCTTTGTAAAGCAATATTAAAGGACACTTTTGTTCAAACTTTTTTTGTTCTGCCTTTTTGGGTCCACCTGCTCCCTAACCCTAAAATGTAACAAAATGCAAACTTTTCACAGTATTTAGTTTTTTTGGGGATTATGCTTTTTACCTTTGTTGTTCCAATGAAAACCACAAAGTATAATTTTGTACCTCATTTTGCTGTTTAATTAACCCAATAAAAGATTCAACAGTGCTCTAGTAAACCCACTCTCTCTGATTCATCCCTTTTTAAGGAACAAATTCAGTCACACTGCAAGTTTTCCTGAGGTGAAATGTGGCTGACCTGGCATGCAAGAGGCAGCGTGACTACTGTGACACCTCTGCCATGCATTTACGCAGACGTTGAGGCCGCTGATTCAAAGTGTAATTCAAGTTTTCTGTCGGACTACAGCCCACATTCCACACATCCCAGTGGCTGTGCCCCCTCTGACAGAAGCAGGCACCATTTTTCATGTTGTATACATTAGTATTTGTAACACTGCAGGTATGAACTCCCTGTTTATTTCTTGGCAAGACAGATGTGTTGATAGAGTGAGGATCTCTGCAGGTCAAGGGTACTTTAACTGAAGGGTCAGGACAGGGGAGTCAGACTCTAAACTGATGGAACACAGCTGTCCGGCAGCTTGCATTACACTAAAATGCCCCAACAGCCCACATTACCTTTGCCTGGTCACATTTAACAAGCAGTGCAGAGAGGGATGGAGACAGGGCTCTGTGGAGACCGTGTGAAAGCAGATCTAGGTCCATGTGTGAGCATTTATAACCCCAAAGAGATGTTCATTCAGGTGTGCAGGTTACTTGTACGTTCTCACACATGCAGTGCAGTACGCACACGCTAAAACCCCCATTAGAGTTCAGAACAAAAAGAAACCAGCCTATGCAGTTGTATGCATCCGCCAGCCAGTCCAGTTTCAGTCCCTTCAAGGGTTCCTGATGTATTGCATTTACAATATGGGGTCACTTTGAATTTTACCTTTGACCACTGCAATCTATTCAGGTAGTCTTTGCCTCCTGGAGACTAGTCCAAAGTTGAAGAAGATATTGAGATGTCATGTTCAAGAGGTTGGAATGTGAACCATTTATTTGTGAGTCTAAGATTTAAATTTGTGCAAAATTTAAAGTTTGAAGCTGTTCCTCTGTGACCTTTGACCACCCAAATTTAAAAGGGTTCTCCTGAGGTGTTTATGAAATTTCTCACAGAGACCTTGACCAAATACTAATCAGTTCATCCGTGAGTCCAAGTGAACATTTGTACCCAATATGAAAAGACTCCCTGAGCGTGTTCCTGAGATATCGCGTTCACAAGAATGGGACAGACAACTCAAAAACATAAGGCCTCCAGCTGCTCAATCTAAAGTCTAGAGTTCCATTCATCAGCTGCTAGAGTTAGCTCACAGGTTTCGCTGGTTCAGTATATGAATATAAATTAAAGTACAAGACAAAATGAAAAAGTGCCTGATGGCAGGACGAAATGAAAATCAGTGACATTTTTCATGAACAGGGCACAAACGTGTGAACTAAATAAGTTAGAAATCCATTCAGCTGTTGAGGCGCCTCCTGGTGGCCTTGTAGAGCAGAAGTCAGGTGACCACCAATATCATGTCAGTAGGATTAACCTCTGGGAAACAAGAATGTCTTATTCTGTGCCAATCAAGATGTGTGCATATTTATGACAAATATAATCTTGTGGTTAGTACTACCTACATCAAAGTATCACCAAACTTAGTAGGATTCATCCACTGGGGACCACGCACGAAATCTAATCTAAGATATTTCAGTCAATCAACAATCAACTCACATCCCAAGAGCCATATGATCAAAATCTCCAGAGCAGTAAATAATTGGACCATGAAGTGAGATTGTTTTTATCGAAACCTGTTTCCATGGTCGAGAATAAACTAAAACTCAACAAGAGAAGGTTGAAGATCATTTTTCAGCCCCTCACTTCATTTCACAACTCTCTGACTCAAAAACAAAGAATTCTGAGCAGTTCACGAAAACAAATGTTGACTTATATGCAGTTTTCTATGCTGTAATTGTTTATGATTGTAAAACCCTCCTAACTATTTATCTGAGCGAGCACATACTAAAAAATGACTTCATGCTGTCATCCGCAGGCTCTCAGCCACTGAGGCAGGGCTGGAGTGATGTATCCTCTTCAGTGGGAGTGATCTGTCCTCTTAAGCCACACCAAACAGCACCAGCATTCATCTTGTCTTGTTCTCAATCTCCCCATATGAAATTATCTACTTAGAAGTGGTTTGCCATGAGGTAAGTGACTTTAAAAATAAGTGCTACGAAGGAACATGAGACAAGTTGTCCTCTGTTGCTTCCATGCAATGGACTAGAGAAAACACAGGTGGGTTTGGACAGTAACTGTGCACTGAAACTCTGAGATCTATACAGCCAGGGCTTTTAGTTTATGGATTTTTCATGCGGACTATGTCGGGGGCAAAGGTTCACATTCCCCAAATCACCAGAGAGAGGGTGTTTCATTTCATTTCACACCGTCCCGACATTCACATTGAGACAAAGCCAATTCCATCCTGTGTGATTTGCAAAGATTTCAGTCAGGCACAAGAATTATGTAACATGAAGCCGCCCAGGGTCGATATCATGGCAGGAGGCCACGTCGCTCGTAACTCTCTGTCAGCTCAGTATATACTGGACAGGGTGGAGAAACACCATATGCTCCGTGTTCTCTGCTGTCTCTGGAGTTACTGCAGTACAAGCTGCATCTCTGGCCGAGATCCCGCGAGCCCATTATTGAGACGTTTTTCTTCACGCTATAATAAACTAAAAGGGATATTGGCATTTGGGCCCAGCTCTCACTATCAGAGCAAGAAGACACCATTGTTCTGAAGCCTACAAATGCTATTCTGTTGCTTTCAGATTAGAAACCCCGGATCAAACTGTATTTTTCATATATCAGTTTAATGTTTTTACCATCCTTCATGTTCTTCCTTTCTGAAAACAACCATTACAGACGCAAATTTAAGCATAACTATGCTGAAAAAAAGGATGGATCATTTTTGCATCTTGCCTTTTTAAAAACTTGTATAAGGCCATGATCATGAAGTCTTTGCTCATGATGCCTGCATCATCGTTTTCCATTTCACTAACTTTGTTCTTACGCCAGTGAAAAATATGGGGGAGGAAATCCGAACTTTGAAATACAGGCCCAATCTGCAGCAGCAGACTGTTAGTCATTGCACAGTGGAGCAATAATATTTTTACAATGGACACAGTAAAGAGGATATAAAGTTTGTTTGTTTATATTTTGGCACCGGGAATCTGTGATCCGTGATTTGTTCTTTCCAGCCGTCGATTCACACTTAGTAAAAACTGATCCCAGGACGTGTGTTTAACGTGGATTCATTGGAACAACTAGACTGAAATGTTTTATAAAATCTTCTCAGAAAAGTTTTTGAAGGTGTAAACTGCAACTCTTGCTCCATCCAGCGGTAGGCATGGGTATTACATCTCTATAGTATTTTGGTTCAATAACAGCAGCTTTCTAATAATCACACCTGATGGGTGTTTTTGACGTTATGAAGCTGAGGAAACTTAATGAAATCACAAATCAGCTCTGGTTTTAATGCTGAGGCTGCAAAAAAATACTCTGATTCAGAGAGAAACAAAGTTACGTGCTTATCTGCTAGAACAAAAATCTGATGCCTCCCATACTGTCTCATGCACCTCAAATCAGACATAAGCCAATTATTTTCATACATACATTTATTTTATATAAAAGACAACAATGGTTGCAATATTAACAGTTATTCACACACTGGACCATCACTGGAAAACTACAGTATCCAACATGGCCGCTAGGCACTGAACGATGTTGGATGTCATGAGAACATCGACATGCTCCTCCAAGTGCCTCTTGGGATCCTGCAGGAACAACAGAGATGTTGAGAACATCAACAGTGAGATGTGACTTTCAATGAAAACGATTTAAAAGGTCCAGTGTTTAAAATTAAGATTTAGGATCTATTGGCAGAATATAAAATAATCCTAGTGATGTTTTAACTGGTGTGTTTCATCCAAATTTTACAATTTTTTTTTTTATTTACCCTAGAATGGGCCCTTTATATTTAAATACTTTATATTTACATCAGGAGCGGGTCCTCTCTACGGAGGCCACCATGTTTTTTCAGTAGCCCAGACTGAACTAATGTAAAACACATGGCGGCCTCCGTAGAGAGGACCCGCTCCTGATGTAAATATAAAGTATTTAAATATAAAGGGCCTTTTCTGGTGTAAAGAAAACTACAATTCATACAAATTAGATGAAATGAACTAGTGAAAACATCATGAGGATCATTCTACATTAAATTTCTGCCAATAGTTCCCTTTCACCTAAATCTTACACACTAAGTCAGTCAGTCAACAAATAGTCGTCTTTCTCTCTCCCTCCAACAATAAATCTCTTATTGCAGCTTTTAAAACAGACGAACTGAATTAAAGGCTAAAAATAAATATGTATTATAACGATATCTAACATTAACTACAATCACTAGCCTTGATGGAGCAATTTGTCATAATAAGAAAAGAAAAAGAAAAACTATAAACATCAGCTGACTCAAGTGTCTTGTGTGTTTTGATACCTGTTTTCCAACATTCTTGATAGCCAGCTGCTCTGGGGTCATTTTGTCCTCTTCTTCGACCGCCTGAGTTAAAAACATGACAGCGTCACATCTCAAAAGAGCCACAACATGTGTGTGTGTGTGTGTTTGAATGCATGGCTCTAAGGAAATACTGATTATGTTATGGTCATGCAAGACGTGAGGAATCTTGTATACAGGAAACAAATCATGCTCGCAGATGGGAGAGTCACACACTGATTCTCTGACTGCTGCACTGGAGCAAACAATAGAATAAAAATTATGTATACGTTATTTTGTCTGTGAAATCACAGTTTAAAAGTCAATATGAACATTATTAATAACTGTATAGAAGGTTGATAAAGCCAAGACAAATATTCTAATCAAATGTTCTCATCTTGACCGTAATCATGCAGCAAGGTGCGCTAGAACCCGTGTTCTAGTTTGGGCTGTATTAAGGGCTATTCTGATGAGATTAATGCTTTTCAATGATTTGAAGGCTGTTCGGTGAGGCCTGAAGCAGTTTACCTTATTGTAGTTCTTAGCCAGCTCCAGCATTTCCTTAACAATGGTCTCATTGAGCTTGCAGTGCTCGCTGTAATCCTGCAGGGTCAGTCCCTCCATCCAGCTCTTCTTATGCAGGTTCAACAGCATCTTTAAATAACAACAGCCATGTTTTTCATGCTCTAACAAAACACCAAAGTATATATATTATTAAAAGCATTATATAATACAGAGGTGTATTCTCAAACCTTTTGCTCCAGCTCGTTTTTCCTGTAATTGATGGTGATGGAGTAGTAGTGTCTGTTGAGTCCATGAATCAGAGCCTGCAATCAAAGAGAAAAACATTGTAGTTATATTGTAAAATAATAACAAGCAAAACATCTTCATTCTGTACTGAGAAAAATGTATTTGGACTTTTTGAACTTGCATTCAGAAACTATTTTTGTTATTAAATTCAGTATGGATCTTTTACAGGAAAGCCCTGACATAATGAAGTGGTTGCATATTAAATCATCAATCTTCTGTTTGTAAAATAACAATTTTGATTTAAACTATTCTGTAGAAACTAGGGGAACAAATATTACCAATCTATCATCTACATAAGGAACAACTAAAATAATTTCATTTTGACTGAAGATGATGGTGCCATGTTGACTGTGTTACCTGGATTGAGGGCTTGTTCAAATGACCCAGATTAGATGTGGTTTGTCGTGGTTCATGACCCAAAACCATCATGTTGGCGTTGATCAATCTGAAGGCGTCGATAACAACCTGTGGAACACATGAAACCAGTTTACTGAACAGTACGTTACATCTACTATTCCCTTCGAATTCACAGTTAATTGACGATCTTGTGTTCAGCAGCAGCCAAAGATCTTTACCTTTCCTTTGACGCTCTGAATGGGATCAACCACAACAGCAACGGCTCGCTCTGACAGGGCCTCAAAGCTCTGCTGTGTGTTGATGTCCACGCCAGACAACCAACAACCAAAACCAGGGTGACTGTGGTACCATCCAACCACCATCTCTGGTCTAGAGAGAAACACGAAGAGAGTAAACGTGTTTCAAGATATTTGTGAAAACAAATCATTCTGTTTAAGTGTTACACTGAACACTGGTCATTGCAAAGTAAGATGTCATGTAAAATTACTCGGCCCTGAAATAATGCTAAAGCTGTTGGCTAAGATAATATTTGCTAGAGTTGACATGTCAAAAAATAGACTTAAGATTCACTGAAGACAAAATCTGACCAGAGGAATAAATGAAAATATTCTGACTGCAAGTTCTACCTGCCAGTTTGTTTCAGCATGTCCAACATCTTGGCCTGGAAAACAGGATCCACTGCTTCCACACTCACACCCTGATGGTAGAAAATCATCAATGTGACAAAGAGCAAAGCCGACATGAAGCATCACAGACTGTGTTGAAAAACTATTGATACAAGCAAAAGAACGAAGCATTTGTCTGTCTTCATATTACAATGCACAGCAAAGCTTAATGAAGTACAGTATGTTAGGAAACTTCTGGATCAGGTATTTTCAAACAATTGATATTATTAGGGAGAAAACATACTGTTCCTGACTGGGGCATGGCAAACACATCAATCACTCGCACTGTGTAATCGTCCACAAACTCTCCCAGCATCAATCCCATGACCTCCATTGGTACTCCAGCCCGCCCGTGCTTCAACATCTAATGAATGAGACGTCACAAAGGTGTCATTAAATACACAAAACTGAATATGACCACACTGATAAAAGGATGAGAGCAGATAATATGTGATTACCTTGAGCAGGGCCAGAGAGGAAATGTACACCTGTTCTGCTGTGTCCACTGCTGGTGCATCTGTTGGGGGACCCTGAGGAGTCAAACCACAGTTTATTTACCAGTTGTTCTAGTCTTTCAAATACAGTAAACATCACAATCCAAGATTCATCCAGATTTTTTATTCATAAAATATCTAATGGTGATAACTTCATAAATGAATCCTGTGGAACACTACATTCAAACCATGAGTGTTAGTGTAGAACTTTGTGAGACTGCTTTACATTTGTCTGAGTATGAAATAGTGGACACTTAATTGATGTGGTGCTGAATCCCATGAGTGTTCTGAGCAGACAGCGGTGTGGACAACCAAAATGTTTTATTAAATCTCATCTCAAAGCTTTCTATAGATATAAGCACTGATACTAAGCATTAGAAAGAAATGATCATTGCATTACCTGACCAAGTCCGGGCATTCCACCTCCAAGTCTCAGCAGCCGATCCATATTGTTATCTGTTAAAGACATTAAAAAGTAATTCGCCTGCCTTCAAACTACACAGCCAAACAGCAACCTGAACTCATCAGATATCAGAGAGGTGCATGCGACTTTTCATAAAATGATTATAAGATCAGATATATATCAGATATAAATAAGTCAAACAGCTCTTTTGGACAAATTGGCAAATAGTTTAAATATACAAAAAAAATAAGTCGTGGACCTAAGAGTTTATTTTTTATCAACTTCAGTGAGTTGGGAAACCAACATGAAAATACCTACACACTTAAATACAACTACAAACGTTTATATATGTAAATACAGAGCAGATACAGAATCAGAAATCTTTATTGTCATTGTTTAACACTGGTATGTGAGTAATGTATTGGACAACTTAATAAAAACACCAGTCCGTAATATGCGATATAGTTCAAAAGCAGCAAGAACTATAAAGACAGTTTTTATTTTCCAATATTGTATCGGCTACTGCTTCCTTTGTATGTTCTCTAGTGTAGATTACATTCATTCATATATAAACATGGAGGTCTTCCATTGGAATTTATTTTGAACTTATTCTGTGCGAGGCCTCTTTATCATATTGTTTGCCGACACAAATACAATTAGAATTTAGTGTCTGTCAAAGCCGGAGTCACATTCTTTGCGTATTTTATTTATTAAAATACGCAAAGAATTGACGTTAGCGGCCAAGTGGCTAGTTAGCACCAGTTAGCTGGCTTCCAGTGACACGTAAACACGGATAACCCAGTGTTAATGTTGGATTCAAACTATCGTTCAATGTGTTTCTGCAGCAGTGTAACAACAAGAGCAGAACGTGTTAATGATTTCAATCACTCGGTTCAGAAACTAATGTTGTCCGCTCGCGTTAGCGGGCTGTTAGCTTACTCATGCTAACTTCGCCTGTGTCATCTCGAAGCAGAAAAGCAGCGACAAACTAGCACCGCCGACTCCGTCTCATCGTGTTTAACGAAGGCGAGTGTCCGTGCTCGAACCCTGGCTCCACTCACCTGTTGTCAAACGTGTCGTGTGTTCAGAAGACGCAGTTTCTCTCCGTGTTCACAGTCAAACACACCGACTACAATGAATCAGCCAGATTCTGTACTCAGGAAACCACTTCCGTCGCTCCGGTGACGTCACGACGGACGACTGCAAAATCTGGACACACGGGGGCGCGACAGACACGACACACCCAATAATACTTGTAATTATTATCATTATAACGATAATAACAATAATAGTAATAACAACAACAATACACTAATTATTATTATTATTATTATAATAAGTATTATCATGATAATACAAAATAGTAATAATAATTCACTCGCACAATTTCCTATTTCCGATCAAACAAAGAAAGGACAACAAATACCTTAGTAAATGACTAATATATAATACACATTATTATTATATTATAGATGATAAAGTATATAAATATATATAATACTAATGATATTACAATATTTTTAAGTGATATAAATAACATCATCCCAATAATAATAATAATAATAATAAAAACTACACTTCCCATTTATTGAATTCTGTGATACATTTCTACAGTTTGAATATTTACATGAAAAATGTTTTGCATTAAAATTGAATACATATATCATCTATGCTCTTCAGTCCCTTGGTTGGATTTTATTTTGATTGTTGAATATTTTGTTTTTGGAAAAGATCCTTATAGTATTAGATCTAGTTTCCTCTTGCTCTCTTTTCTCTTTTTGATACTAAACCTGGGTCCAATATATATATTTTAAGGAGAGCAGTGGTAACAATACAATACTATAAGCCATCAACTGGGACATTAAGTGAGTATTTAGGGTAATTGTATGAATGTAAGAATGCACTTAGCCAGGTTTGTTATCATCAACAACAATGATGCAGCGTCTCTCTTTTAATACTACAAGGAATGAAAACTGCTGTGATGTCTGTGTGGCTTCTCATATTTCAACATGCAGGCATTTCATTATTCCCAGAGGAGCCACAAACTTCAGGCCAAGCCACGCCGTCACACTGGCGTTGGTGGAAAAGCCCTCGTTTGCTCGGGTGTATTTCACACTGGCAGTTCCCAATCCTGCTATACAGCTCTGACAATCTGGCCCAGCCGTGTCACAGCCAGATAGGTCAGCAGGCATGCTGGTTCTTTGGTGGATGAAGAGAGGACAGATAATCATCCACATTCCTCAGTTCCTCCCTCTCCACACCCAGAGCACCTCCTGCTACCTCGTCACCGCCTAAACCAGGATGTGCTTCCTCAAGATGCCCATCCTCCATATTATTAAAGTATACATCCTCAATGCTCTCTCAGTTTTATCTCATTTCTTTTGGCTTGTAGTTTCCTATAATGACTCTTCTGCAGGTCTGGGCTACACCCACCATTAAAGGGTCTTATGTAAGCAATAACTTGATGTGTGAAGACAATACAGGAGGCAGACGGACGTTATTTTTCCTTTCGAGGGGGCTGAGTTTTTGTTAATGAATCGTTATTGCTGACTGTGTTGTCTCATTGAATGCAGCTCCGCATATGATTGGTTGACAGCTTCCCAGTGGCTCAATTTGAAACCTATTCATTTTGTTGCTCTATATGGGGGAGAAGTCATTTCTAAAGCTTTTGTAAATGAACCAGACAAACAATGGAAACATGGATAAATGAGCCCAAAGAAAAGCTACAGATAAATGCAGCATTGGACACAAAACCGGTTCAAAGCACTTTGCAGACAGATGAGAAATGTGCATTTTAATTTGTGAAATATTTGCATATATATGAAATCTATTTGATGGGTTTACTCATCAATATTTATCAAAATGCATATTAACAAGCACAGGAAATCATCAGTTTAAAAAAAGAATATTGCTGCAGATTATTTAGATCGGAATGATTTTTCTAGGAACATTAGAAGTAGCTTGTAACACGACACCAGCGTGAAACCTTAATCCCACTAGCAGAGGAAATAAGGAAGAGAAATTCGATGCTTTAAGAGCTTCTCTGCACCCTGATGGGATTTGGATTTAGCTCTGCTCCATAAATCTCTTGCAGGACCTTCGAGCAAGCGTTGCTTTGAGTCCTTAAGTGTTTGTATGTGAATATTAAATGAGTATAATTAGGTAAAAGTGACTGACAGCATGAACCCAGACAGTTAATATCAACACAAACACTCTATACCTGTGTAACCTGAGGTTTATATTTAGCTCTCTGGATAAACCTAATATCTATTTGTAGCAGTTCAGAGAGACACCAAATGATCTAAGGTCTGTAGTTTGATTCTACCTTTTTTGCACATCACCCGCTTTTTCAGATCCCTGTTGCCAGAGCCAGGAGATGTTCTGCATGAAAATAATTGTATTTATTCTTTTATCAGACATTTCCCAAAGTACAATTTTAGGGGGGAAATTACTTTGAACAATTTCATACAGGAACATCTGGGAACATTTCGTGATTTATGAACTAAAAGGCTGAAAACATGGTTAGATTCCCTAAGCTAAGGGATCATGCACATAACAATATCACTGACTGGTTATTGTTATTTTCACACTAAAGCACATGAAGACTAAACAACATACCTACAGCTCCACAGAGAAGAATTGCAGCTTAAAACACCTAAAAATACAGAACAAACATGAGAAGAGGGAGATATAAAACAAACCCAGTGGATAAAGAGGGAGGACCTGGTGTCATGAGGGAGGCCGTTCCTCACTCTGGGGGCAATGATGAAAAATAAAAGCTTTCTTCTGTATCTGATGAACCTAAAAGGTCTTAAAAGTTAAAACGCAGGCATTGTACACAGTCAAGCCATTTTCATGTTAATCAGAATAGAAACCAGGAAACTGTAGTTCCTCATTTTCCACCTCTCACTTGTTTGAGTGCTAAATACAAAAATGCCCAGTTTTCACTTTTGCAAACCACGAATGGGCAAATCAATCTTGTGAATGGGAAAAATATTCATGATTCTTTTGATTTATGAGTTCATGGGTCAATATTTTGTTTCTATGACAAAAAAATGAAGCCATCACATGATCCTCATATACAGTATACCAACTAACAACAAATCCATTCTTTATTAGGTTATACGCCTTGAGATTTTTTGATTTAGTTGAGTTAAACAATGCACAAATAATATATAAAGCTAGCATATCACAATTCAGTTTGTTTGAGTCTCGACAGCTGATATCAACTGAGGGGAACTGGCAAGTTTAACAAAATAAGGGTAAGGACCAATGTAAAGAAATAGATGTGTATCTCTAGAAGGGGTAAATGTAAATGAAATATAATTACAATGAATTAAAAAGGTGTAGCTCCATTTCTTTGTTTAAAAATGAAAAAAAAAACACATGGAGACGTGGGCATATTTTTTGATTTTCGGGCCTCACAGGTTTGGTAGTTGAATTCTTCAGGTTATGAAAGGTGGGCATCTCCTTCCGCCAACACCTTTTCTGCCTATTTCTATGAACTTATTGCTTTGTTTTCAGTGACAAATCTTTTTGTGGAAAAAATGAATTTAGTTGTAAACTGAGCTGAACCACCCCACGCAGCCCATGTAGGACACATGCTGCAAATCAGAAAGCAGGAGGCTACACGTTGTATAAAGTAAAGTAAATTAGTTTTTTTTAAGAACAATGTGTTCTTTAGAAATATTTGCTGCCTGGTTTTTTTTATATTTGTTGTTGCTCATGATTAACCCACTGTGGTGTATGGTTGTGTTTACACGGAGACTGTGACCTCCAGCGGAGGCCAGGGCCCTGCTTATATTTCATTGCATCCTGATTCTCTGACATGTAGTGTGTTGGATGGGGGGAAGGGTAGGAAGAGGAAGAGGGTGTGTGTGTGTGTGTGTGTGTGTGTGTGTGTGTGTGTGTGTGTGTGTGGTTGGAGGAGGTGGGGGTGAAGAATGTTTGGTATGTGCGGACGACGACAACATGAAAGGCGGTGAGGGGGTCGTATGCGCTTCTGCAAACCGAACGCATCGTGTGCTTTTTCGTATCGGATCACGCACGAAGCCGCGGACACCAGACGCACCCACGCGCCTTTAACGCAACGACACGGGGCTCCGGTGCGGGTTTGAATGCGGCGTCCGTGCGGCTTCGTGTGACGGCGGACACCCCCGCGGCGGCGCAGATGGTTGGGTCTGTAGTAGGTGGGACTGAGGTCTGCAGCAGGACGTCGTAGATCAATGAACCGGACCGGAGAGCTGCTCCATCTCCTGCATCTGTCCCCATAGATGTGTCACTCCACCTATGCAGGATCTATTTCTTAGTAATCAACCATCCTCAGTATGATCTGAACCCACCGGCTCATTCACAGTTCTCCTCTCGTCGCTTGGATTCCGTCTCCTCTCTTTTTGCGATTTTTTTATTTGTGGCGGAGGGGGGGAGAAAAATATCATCTGTAACCTCCAGGATGATCTTTGCAAACACGGGCAACCCGCTGAAGACAGCCAATCGTAAGCAGGTAGGTCACACACACGCACACACACACGCACACACACGCACTTTATTATTATCTATCATTTCTTTAATCTCTGCCTACTTTTTTTTTTTTTTTGCTCACANCACACACACACACACACACACACACACACACACACACACACACACACACACACACTCGGAATAATGGCAGCCAGATATGACATTGGAGAGCCCTCCCCGGCTTCCATGTGGAATATATGCGTTTTAATAACATCATTTTCACCCTAGATTAATTTAATTCTATACAACAACATGTAATAAATACAGATCCATTCGTTTTAGTCCGACTTGGGAAGCTTGATCATCTGTTAGGCTTCATGTTGAGATAAACCCAGCTTCTGACCAGATGTGCAGCTCCTTCATTATTATGTCCATATAACCTTGTTTGCCCAGTCAATCGCCTGCTGTGGTCAATATGCATGACGGGAACTGTAGTATGTTTTATAGGTTAATATATTCTGGGTGAATCCAGGGAGGGGGTGGGAGTGGGGGAAGATAGCTCAGGCTAAGGTAATGTAATGTGTGTCAGTGTACTGGAGTGAACTGTGCTGATCGCATCCTTCATTTTGACCTCTCAGGTGAACTAAAAAAAAATGTAATCGAAGACCCATCTGTTTTCCCATCACACCTTTTGATTGAGATGGAAGATGAGAATAGAAGGCCCCTGTGATGACAGAGATGCCTGAATCAGATAAGGTGGATTGAGGGTTTCAGGTTGTAATATACCAGCTGTAATATTTAATTGGAAAATAGTGCTTGATGCCTTTGAGGATATGAATCTAAACCCCCCGCAGTGAAGCAGTGAATGGGTTTTCAGTGTAATCATTAACACAGGTTTAGTCTGCTCTACTATTTCATATTGTGTCTGTGAAATACAGTTAACTGCTGTCTTTAATGGAGACCATGCATGCTCTCTGAGGCCTTATGTGAACCTGTGGTGGTCTCAAATAAAGTTAGCGTGGTAATTGCATACCAACAAAAATGTAAGGCCTCCACTTGAACACATAACAGGCCGAACAGATGTTCCTGCCACAGCAATCAATTCCTCATCTGTAAAAGAAAAATAGCTGCTGCGAATGTTCAACCGTCACAAGACTCTGGAGGGGTATGTCAGTGATTCTTGTTGGCGCGAACATAGTTATACCCATGGATTTGGCACTTGGAGCAGATTGTCCTTTGGTTATGGACAGATGGTGTGATTCTGTCATGCCTTTGACTTTGATCTGATCTGGAGATGGTTTGGTGTGGCTGGGAGCTATTTTAATGAATGAGTAAGGGGAAGGAAATGCTTTGCAGGGCAGCGCGGTGTGGTTTGGCTCACAGGAATGAAGAAAACTGTAGGTTTGTGATAAACACAACTGCAGGATGTGAAGATGTGAACACGGATTTAATCAAATTGTGAATCATCAACACCCACATCCCAGAATAAATATATTACATTTTACAACAACCAGGAATTTGAAGGTAAAACCTGCCTTACACTGAGACCCTGACAGTGGTGGAAGAACTATTTTCAAATCTTTTACTGAGGAAAAAGTAGAGATGTTATAGTCTAAAAATAGTTACTTCACATTACCATTACAAGTCCATGCATCCATTATAACATCTATCCTTCGCGGGGTGGTTGTAGCCAATCCCAGAGGTGGGGTAAGTGTCATATTTAAAATGGTGCTGTATTATAAAGGAAAATGTACTTTAAGAATCAAAGTTGAAGGTATGCATGATGCAGAAGCCCTCAGTTCAGAGGGAATAATGATACTCAAGTACAAAAACCTCAAAATCGCACTTAAGTAATGTGCTTAACATTACTCCAGAAAATGGCCACTGGAGCCTGTTGTCCCAATGTAGAAAACTGACTGTTGTGCGGATCACAGATGAACGATGCTTATCACCTTATGTAAAAGAGCTCAACTTTTACTGTTACACAGAAAAGATGAGATGTTCTTGTGATCACCGTTGACCTGGGTTTAAATTAGATTATCTAGCTCCCATACACGTCCTAACAGTGGGTTTCCTGTGTGCAGTCGTACCCCATGACTCCGTCCAGTCCCGGCAGCAGCAGCAACAGCAGCAGCACAGGCCTGGAGCAGCTCAGCAAAACTAACCTGTACATCCGCGGCCTGCCTCCCGCCACTACAGACCTGGACCTGGTCAAACTCTGTCACCAGTGAGTACAAACACACACACACACACACACACACTGGAAACTACAAGTATGCTTGTGTGTGCACAGCAGTGTTTTGTCACTGATATGCTTGTTTGCTGAAAAAAGGGGCCAGCAGCAGGCTGTAGAATTTCAAATACCAAAGTCATCCCTGTCTGACTTGATGACCACAGATAACATACTGTGCACAAATAAAGTCTAAAACTTATTTTGTTTCACATTCAAGTTAATAAGACCATAAAGTAGTGTTTTTAGTATATTAATTGTTGATGTAATGAAATATTTTGACACGTATTTTGAGAAATGTCAAGACTTTGATGAGAAGTTTGCCAAACACTCGTGTCTACTCTGAATATGAAGCCACAGCCAGGAAATGCTAGCTTAGCTTTGCACAAAGACTGAAAACAACTGTAAAACCATAAGAAGTTATATTTCACATGCAAGATGTATAATGTTTATCAGTGAATTTTTAAGGGCTGGTAACATTAGATGTATTTCGTTACCTTAGGACAGAGCCAGGCTGGCTGTTTCCCCGTCTCTAGTCTTTGTGCTAAGCTAACTAGCTGAGGTTGCTAGCTTCATATTTCCTGTACAGCTAGCTATGAGAGTGTTAGCAGTCTTCTCATTTAGCTCTTGGCATGAAAATAAAAACAGGCATTTCCCAATTTAATTACGAGCTTCTACAAATTGAATTTGTTGACAGAATGTTTTGATGAATCACTCTGGGTTTCATCAAAACATCCTGTCAACAACATTTATAAAGCTGTTTACTCGATAATGACAAGAGAAGTTTGGGAAATTTCACTAAATAAATAGCCTTTGAATAGCAAAATAAAAAAAACATTTAATTCAAAAATTGATCGAAAATACTTGTTTGTTTGAGTATTTGATGTTTTCGAGCAAAAACATCAATGTTGGTATTCAGAATTATGCACTGGTTTAACCATAGTGTGCGCTGACACATGAAACGCTCCAACCACCGCACCTCTATAAACACGGAGAAGTCATCGCTCCACCGTGGGATGTGAAGCAAACATAACATCCAAAAGAAAAAACGAGTTATGCAAAGTAGCCAGGGGAACGTTCACTACTTGATACTACAGGCGTCTGTCGGAGTAGTTAGTGCGGTGGACGCCATCATTAGTGGAGTTTTGTCTACTCTCGTTCCCTCTGACTCCCGAACATATGGAGAGAGGCATTCACCCATGTAACCAGCCGCAGCAGCTGTTTGTGTCCTGTTTGCTTGTGTTTTGTTCATGCTCCCAGTGGTGTTTGGCAGCACAAAGCAGAAATGAAAGCGCTTTTCATAGCAACAAGGTCTGAATGGTGATGTAAGCTAGGCATTCAGAAAGCAGCTCACAGCTTGTCACAGTTCAAATTATTATAAAGTTAGACAGAGCCTGAAGTTTATCAGTGTTTGGTAACATGTAGCAGAGTTTAGTGATGTACACTATGCGCTGCTGAAATCTGCAGGCATCTCAATGAGCATTACTACTTTTTATAATTTTCATAAATCGTCCTTTTCTGCTGTTTGATATCTTTGCGATTAATGAAGTTACTCTCTGAACAAATTACATCCTCAGGGATACACAGAAATTTAACTGACATGAACACTACATAACAAGAATGGCACTCAGTAGAGCGCAAACCTCTACCATGGCCCAACAGTAAATTCAATCAAGCACCAAATTACACACATTCATGAATATCAGTCTCTTTTTCATCAAAATCCATGCATTATTCCCTGGGAAATTTTCGAAAATGTTTTAAAACAAAAACGAAATGCCCCTTTTCGTAAAAGTGGTTTGTCCACATCTGCCCCAAAATTGAATGTCTTCTCTCTTGGCCCATGTCCCATTCTTTCCCCGAGTTTTGTGGAAATACACAGATTTTGTGCAATCCAGCTAACAAACAAACGGACAGAGGTGAAAACATAACCTCCTCGGGGAGGTAATGAGAAGGCCGAGCCGATTCCTTGATCACCAGTGTCTCTTGTTCAATATTTTCAGAGAGGTTTTTGTTTTGACAGTAACCTTTAAGTTCATGTTTGCTCAGGTATGGAAAGATTCAGTCAGCAAAGGCAATCCTGGACAAGACAACCAACAAATGTAAAGGTCAGTAAGGTCATTAACTCACGCTAGTAGCCATCATTGCTCAGCTTTGTTCGATAAGAAGAAAATCTATATTTTATCATCATTGAGTGTATCTCTGCTGCATGTCTAAATATGGAGCCTCATCAATGTAACAGTTGATGTTTTTGCTTGCATGCTGTGTATGACTGTACATGACTGCAGATAATTCCTTTAACATGTTCCCTGCTGTTTAGAATGAATTTCCACTCCTTCCCTGCTGCTCATGATTTTCCATCCATTGCTAGTCTAATGCTTCCTCGAGTTGGGTGATCCATCACTGTGAACACAGCAACAGTGGATACGTCTGCTTTTATTTTTGTCAAACTTGTTACATTGTGGTTTGACACCACAGCTGAACGTATGTTGATTTACGACCCCTGAACTGCATTACAATGCAGTGATACCGTACAGTGAGTTTGACTGAAACAAAGGCAGATTATGATGGATTAGACAGCTCAAGAGTCTCAGATTTACACAGTATTGAAATACATAGAAACTAGTGAGGGACAGGATGATGGGAAAACATATTCATGAATCAGAACGAGCCTGGTGTGCTTTGGAAAATGGTGAAAGGGCCTGGAAAGTGTGTGCAATTTATCATAGACATAGAAACCGGTTAACAGTTTGACATTTTGACTAAAGGTCTCTGAATTGTTGTTCTCAGCAAAGAATTAATCCCCTGCACAACTTCAACATGTCATTTACACACTTCAGTTGCAGTTGCATACTGTTTTGTTCACATTAAACAAACAAGATCAAATGTGTTAATCATTTAGCTTCATATGAACTGGATGGCTTTCTTCTATTTGGAAAGGGCCAGGCTAGATGTATCCCTCTGTGTCCAGTCTTTATGCTAAGCTAAGATAATTCGCTGCTGGATCATGCCACATATATACCCAGAGAAAGGGACAATTCAAAATAAGATCTCTTCTTGGTCTTCATTGCCCTTTTCTCCAAGACATAACTGAGCTCAGAGATCAGAATTGAGTTCAAATATTAAGATGATTCATTTCTTATGAGAGAAAGAAAAGACAATTGTGAACAGCAACATTTTAGAGTGGGGTCCTGCTTCTCATCAAAGTGTTACTTAAAATAATGCAGCAACCAATGAGAGAAATCAGATCCGTAAAAAAGGCTCCATAAATTTAGACGACATCATTGATTCATAATTTAAAATACATCTTGATAAATGTACAGTATCGAACAATGAATATCAACGTATGACCAATCCCTCAGTAACAGGATTCCATTTACAATAGGTGGTTTGACTATTATTTGTTGGCTGATCATGTAAATACTGTTCTTCCAAATACAGGTTACGGCTTTGTGGACTTTGACAGCCCAGGAGCTGCTTTAAAGGCTGTACATGCTCTGAAAACCAGCGGCATACAGGCCCAGATGGCCAAGGTGAGATACAGGCGTGTGTGTGTGTGTCTGTGCAAGCGTGTGCGTATGTGCATATTTGCCTTGCCTGTGAACATCTCTGCGGGCCTGTTCTTCTTTAATGTGTGCATGTGTCCGGGGTGTGTTGGCGAACGACATTAGACTGGTCACGTGACCTCAGCTGACAAGCTGTTCTTCCCGTGACCCCATTTACTTTCACTGTAGAAACCAGATGTCACGTCTCTTGCTGCCAAACAGCCTGTCAGTCAGTGTGACAGGTCACTAACAGCAACCGCAGCTCACACACATGCACACCAATCCCAGGTTAGTTAAGACTGTGCAGACAATGTAAAGTTTGATTTTACATTTACCACTCATACATACTGATATATTTCTGCACCAAAGCACTACAGCAGCAGTACTACTACTCTGACTCATAGTCGATCCTCTGTGACTCATTTAAAGTAAAGCGCACCCATTTTTCAAATCATATTTTTAGACAACAAACTGCAATATTATCTGCATTACATCTGTCATTTCTCTGGTAGAGGACAGCGGAAATAATCCTGATCATCAGATATTTTCTTTAAAGTCCCTTCCATTTGCGACTCTCTTTCCTTGTTCACTGAGGAAGGGTTGCTGTCTGGAGACCTGCATGTGGCCGCTCTGTTCGGAACAAACAGCAGAACACAGTTTGTGTGTCGCGGTAGCTAGGCTACGCTGCTCTCCTGCTGTTTCTAGGGAAGACCGTGGAGGCGCTGAGCTGCTGCACAGTTAAGATGGAGTGTGTTTCAGTTTGTGCGTGTGTGCATAAGAACTTATAGTGTTTGTTTAACCAAATGTCTTCCTCTGACCGTAAACCATTCTTCAGCTGCTTTTCAAATCCTCATCCAGCCAGACAAGTCTCATACCAGAGAAAAATAAATTCTGTCCGATTTGTCATTGAAAGTAATTGCTGCGCTGCCTTTATCTACTCCTCTGCTCGCTGTATGAGAAACATTCCATTTTGGCGAGTGGCTCAATCTCAGGTCAGATGTTACATGCAAAACACACGATAAAACACATCACATTTAAAATATTTTCTCTTTTTTTCCTTCCTCTTCCAGCAACAGGAGCAGGACCCAACAAATCTTTACATTTCCAACTTGCCTCTCTCTGTGGACGAGAAGGAGTTGGAGAACATGCTGCAGCCGTTTGGCCAGGTCGTGTCCACGCGGATCCTCCGAGACTACAGCGGCAACAGCCGAGGTGTGGGCTTCGCCAGGTCAGTTTCAGATAATTGAAAGAAAGCAGCATTTAATTAGTCACAGAGGAATCACCTTTGTATTTGCAGAATAAACCCACAGGCTTGACACTCAGTTCACACTGATTAATGCTACTTTGCAAGAACAATCATTTATAAACAAACATTTTGTCCAGAAAGATAATTATAAAATCATAACTACAATGACAACCAGAGAGCACATGAGTCCCTATATGAAACTCCATTTAAAGGCAGTAGATTTAATCATTTGGATCTGCATCAAATTTCACACACTCATGAATATTTTTGGTCATGAAGAACCATGAATTATTCTCTGAGAAATCGACAATAATGTTGAAAAATGTCCAGTTTTGTTCCTGTTCAGACCTGGTATCAACATCTTCCTGTTTTAATTTCACATTTTGCAAATTTTAGTGTGACACTTTAAGTCATTGTAGTCAATCATGTCCAGTCGTCTGCACAGGACTTGTTTTGTGTTTAAACTGCTGTCACAAGTCTTGTAATAGCAAACCATGTAAATCTGATCTCATGCAAGACACAAGCTGGTGTTGAACTTTGTCTTTGATGTTTGTTACCCACCCATGATCTTCAAAATGGTTTTCACACTGAATCTTGAAACTGATAAACCTGCTGTGACAAGCCGATATACCCTTGATAAGGTCCTGTTCTATTTACACATAAGGGCAAGAATATTTGTGTCAGGATCCGTCTCGACTGTGCAGATTGTGAAGTAGCATTTAATGGTCATGTGCAGATTTTGTATGAGGTGTGCTAAGAGTTATCCTAGTGTGCATCATGCTTAACAATACCTCTTTCTGTTCAGGATTCTCTTTGTACCGTAGACGACTCTGTGTTATTCAATGATGAGTCATGGGTGTTGTTTTATCTTCTGCCCTGTCAGGATGGACACAACGGAGCAGTGTAACGCAGTCATCACCCACTTTAATGGAAAATTTATCAAGATAGCTACTGGAGGTCTGGGTAGGAAAGAATTTCACCTCACTGTACATTTTCCTCCCCCATGAAAGAATTGTGGAGGTGGTGATGATTGATTGTTGAGTGACTGTTAATACTTTTGTTTTTTTTCTCCTTGTGCTCTGCTCCCAGCTCCTCCTCAGCCGTTGCTGTGTAAGTTTGCAGACAGTCAAAGGAAGAAACACGCTCACAGTGGATTCGCTCCCAACGGACAGACGGGGGATTTTAGACTAGTATGTGTCCACCTTTCGTGTTACTGTAACTTTAACCTTTTGCCTCTATGCTACTAATTTATGCCACGAGAATGAATTAAGTTTTTATTAGTGTGGCATGCATACAAGTACACCCTGCTCACACACAAAGGTTCAAAAGATGTCATACATTCACAAAAGCCTGAATCAGAGTGCTGTGTACAGCTTAATGTTTTAAATTATTCCTATTTAAAAAAAATACTTTAACTACTTTTTAAATGATCATTTGTCTTATATAAATATATATAAAACATTTATTATATAATCCTGGATAATTAATTATTATATAAATTATTCACTCTATTTATATACCACAAACTGCTTTATAAGACAAAATGATGAAATTTAAAACTGTTTAAATGTTAAGCAATCCTTTATCAAAAGAAGGTCAGTAAATAAAATAAATCGAATACAAACAATGTGTGATAATCAGATAAAATAAAATAGGGGGTTCACAAAGGCCACGGTATACAATCTGTGTTTTAAGGTACAAGATACGTTGCCATATTTATATTTTACCATTTTCACATGTACTGAACTTAATTTCATTTTGGGTTAAATTGTTATGATGCGTTGATAAAAAATTCTTCTAAGTCTAATAATAATTGTCTGTTCCCTCATCTTAGGGTGCCATGACTCTCACCTATGACCCCTCCTCCGCAGCTATACAGAATGGGTAGGTTGTGTTAAGAGTTCATGACATCAACTTTTTACTGGCCTCAGAAATCCTCAGCTTCATTTTGAAAAACTATCTTTTGTTCCCTAGGTACTATCCTTCTCCGTATCCAGTGACCAACAGGATAATGACTGTGCAGCCTGCGATGTCTCCATACATGTCTCCAGTCTCTGCTTACCAGGTATTGCACAAGATCCCTTTAATGGTCCAACATCCAGCAGGAAATGCTGTGTGTTAGGCCCTATCTTTGCTTGTGTGTGGGTGTTGCTACAGATGTGGTGATAAAACTGCTCCGGACCACCTCACACTTGATGTGTATACAGCAGAAAGCTTCGTGTTTCACACGGGTGAAGTTCTCTCTCTGAGTCATGCTTTTTCACAAGTGGATTCCTGCTTGATTCATCATCTTTCTATTCACCACAAACACTTCCGTGCGCTGACAACATCCTTTGCTTGAAATTCAGTCTGGAGGGATGAATGCAGGGGCTCGTTGAGCAGGGTTTCAACACACACAGGTTTGGAATAGAGTCCTCTACCAGATGCTATAAACACTCACTGAATGCATTCTTGTTTTTTGTCCTTATCCACAAATAGTTTTGACCACAGCTCACTTTTAAATCAGATGGAGGAGGCAGTTCCTCTCAGACGCACCCCTCCAGGTGTCCATTAAATGCCAGTACACACACTGAAGTATGGTGATGTATATAAAGATGGCTATCCTCCCACTATCCAGCAATAAAGCCAAAATATTCTGCTTATTTACGCTGCCATCATCTCATTTAGAGTCTGCGCAGTAAAGCAATGGGGGGTTGGAGCTGCCGTAGTGAGATTGTACGATACACGCGCTTGACCAATCATGAATCAGTTTCAGATGTCCATCATGATGTTTGACCTCATTTTTGTAAAATTAAAATAACGTATTAAAATCACATTTTCTAGAAAAATTAATTCTTAAACAAGCATCAATGTGATCTTAAGGTCATTTTTCAAAATGGTGCTGGAGTGTTACTCCATAGCGATTGGAACATCTCTACTCGTCAGTACATGTCTGGGCTAGGCTCTTATACATACATACATACATACAGTAGTGCATTCCACAACCAATAAATAAATTAAGACCCCTCTTAATGTCCCCACGCCTCGCTGCCAGAGATCTGAGATCCTCTAGATCAGAGGCTCAAATGACGGGGTTTTCTCAGTAGCTGCCCCAAAGCTAAGGAATTCCCCTTCCTCTTGCTTTGCAATGTATTGAGTTTGTTTTGTCTATATATACATATATATATCATATAGTTCAGTGGCTGCCTCAATGGATGAGCTGTTATATTGCTTAATGCAGACACACAATGAACTTTGTCTTCTTCTGTTTCCTCTGTCAGGTACAGAGTCATTCTTGGGTGGCGGCTCATCAACCATACATCATGCAACACCCGGTAAGGGAACGACAGCGTTCCTTCACACTCCCCTCCTATTCTGTGTACAGGAAATGGGTGTGTGGCACAGCCTACAGCTGAGACTCTGAGCTCACAGTAGCTCAGTAACAGTGTTATTTTAGATTGGGCCATTCTGCCGACGCCATCAAACAAACAATGTCTGTAAATCTTTCCCAAATGTTGAAGGACAGAGCTGACTTCTGGGAAATACAGCCACTGTGTTTTTATATACTGTAAGTGTGTGTATATATGTGTGTGTGTGTGTGTGTGTGTGTGTGTTGGGAGCATGTCTGAAAGAGGAATGGAACAACGAAACAGACATTCCGTCCCCCCTTCGGCCTCCTCCTCCTCCTCTCTTCGGATCCAGCAGGAAATGCCTGAAGCAGACAGTCTTGTGACTCTTTGACTCTTCCAACAGATGGTTTCCAGCGGAACAAGTGTCTCTGCTGATCTGCCCCCTCCCCCACTTTTTACAAGGAAATGGTCTATTCCCTGAAGGCATCATGTTTAAAGGAGTACACGCCATCTGAAGACAGAGCAGAGCTGCCTATGTCATACTTTCCCTTAACACGCAGCCCGGGAGCTCAGAATACTTAACACTCACCCCTGAATGCTGCAGACTGCGGATATATTAGTTTACATTTTCTCAAACCCACTAAGAAACATGTTTTTTTGCATCTGATCTTTCTGCTGCGTCTTACATATGAAGCTTTTAAACAGTGACTTGTGTTTTATTTATACACAGAACTCTTGTTGCAGTCTTTATGTGTTATTTGTGTTTCATCAGATTGATTCAGTTTGTGTAACTGTTTCATGTGATATGTCGTTTAATAAACGGATCTGCTTTGTGTTACAGGCTTCTGTGATGTCTCCCTCTGTGGATCCCTCCATGTCACTGCACCCCTCAGCCATGATTACTCAGCAGATGGGACAGCTGTCGTTGGGAAACACTGGAGCGGTGAGTGGAAGTCTGGGATCTCCTACATCCTCACTCAGTGTTTATCACATTTAATCTGTCTGGTACAAGAAAATCAAAAATTCTCACAGATATTTTGAGGAAAACGCTGGTTTCAGTTTATGCTGTGATTATAAATGTATCACCTTCATCATCTTTACGTGGACATACTTGAGTTTTTCACCTGAAATCTTTATTTTGTATTCGTTGAATTTCTTAATTCTTCTGAATGGATTAAGATTATTAGAGTTTAATATTTGTGATTCTCAGCCGAAATCGTTCCATATTTACAAGCTATATATATATGCTGATATATCTGTATTAGAATTCTTCACATCCTAATATCAGTATAAAACACCAAAAGAGACCAGACATCCGTTAGATCTGAGGCTTATTGCTATGGCAACAGCGTTTTCTCAGTAGCTGTATGAATTTCCCTGTTATCACTGGGTTAACGTGTTATTTTGTGTGTTTTCATTTTCTTCCTTCTTGTGGTTTTGGTTCTTCTTGCACTATAACTTTAGATCAGTTGTGTCATATGTAAAGTGCTAGAAGCTAAAGTTAAGTAACACAAGATGCTTGTATAGCAAGGCCGTCCTTCAGGCTGGACTATACTTCAATTTATACATCAATCATTGTTTGGCTCTAATTGTATTTACTTTTCTTTTCTTACAGTACATTACTGCCAACCCTGGTGTCCAGGGAGCTTACATGTCTCAGTATCCTCCCATGCAGGCACCACCTGTAAGTTTATCACATCTTGTTCTCGTTCAAATCTTCATCCACCTCCTTCCCAGTGTCATTTAACTACAATATATCCCTAAAACAATAACTCTTTTAGAAAATTATAACAACCCCAAGCCAATCCAGTCCACTTCTATTCAGGAGGCCTTGGGTTTGTTTTGAAGTGTTGGTCCTGTGAAACCATCAATTATCTCAGTGCAAACACAGTGAAGGCAGTTATTATCACGTTCTAAATGAGAGACGATGTTTTTCTTTTCAGGAAAATGGCACGCCACAGCAAGTGGACTCTTCTAACAACTCATCTCCTTACAGTCAGCTCAGCAAGTAATCACAGGTGCGTTTCAGCCATGTGACGTACGAACCGGACACTTGTTTATTTCAGCAATGTAACTGCCACAGAAGTTACTGAGGGTTTATATGTCGTGGTATCTCCTTTATTGATGGGTGATCAGTCAATGACTAAGGCTTCAACAATCAGTATCAGCCATTAATGAAAAGGTTTTCTAGGATTTTTATAAAAAAAAAGTTACAAATGGCTTCAAGGATTCATGGATTCAAGAGTATTAAAAAAAAACCCTTCAGAAACCTTAGACATAAAAGTATAAGTTAGATTTACACCAATTTATTTTCAACAAAAAAAACAATTAAATAATTAAAATAAATAACAATTCTCACTGAAAATCCAGATTCCTTGAAAATGTGAATATTTCTCATTTTTTAACCATTGCACATGAGGTCTCTCACTTCACTGATAACACTTCTTTCAGTGTATGTGCACCGGATGCTTCATATTTCCACACCACACATCATACACACTATGTATGTTGTGTTGCACCATGTTCAGCCATCTCATAATCCTGCTCAGACATGATAAACTCAGGTTTTAGATGAGTGTGAGGGAAACATTTTACCTCAGCAGAAAAAGTGAAAGCAGCGTCGTACAGTCAAACTCTGCAGAAAGTCAAATATATAAAGAGATAAGATAAGGTAAGCTAAGCTAAGCTATGGTTAGATAAGATTTTAAGAGTTTATTATCTTATCCTATCATTTAAATGTTTTCTTATTATTATTATTGTTATTCAGGTATTGCAACAACCCACTTACAAACTAAATAAATACAGGTAAAAAAGAATATTGATAAATGATGATAAACTAATCTATTTGTTATTAAGACCATAAATAACGCTCCTCAGCATTATGTGGCAGCGTTCCTCTGTCCTCTGTTAATATTCATTTACAGTTTTATTTCTTTAAATTCAGTTTTGCGTGTCTTTCCTTCCAGGCTGTTTCACTTCACTCTGTGAGCCAGACGGCAGGTGAGAAGTTGCTGATGACATCACAGTGCAAGCAGTCACCGCCTTCTCTGATTGGACCAGACACATGAACTTTTTTTGCACAGCCCCAACGTTTGTGGTGGAAATGAGGACAGTGTAAATGGACTCAAGCAGTCGGCTAATCACAGAAAAAAAAAAAACGAGATTTATTTTGATAAGAAACAACATGCTCTTCTTTTTCTCTTTTTTTCATGGATCCTCGAAACCAATACCAGAGGATCCCCGGCCTCTCCCGTCCTTAGCCACCCCCACTTCCACCCCCCCTTCCACCTCCCCACCCCCACACCCTAGTATGATGGGATATAAAAATGCATGAGATTGAGCTACCCCCAAACCCCCTCCCCCTTCAAGGGTTCTATGATTTTATAGTTCCTTTATTTGTGATGTATGGAAAAACCTTGCAAAACGTTGTTTGCACTGAAGTTTCATGTTTCCGAATAGCTTTTTTTTTCTTTTATGATGTTTTTGGGTTTTTAAAGTGGCCACAGAAAAGCTCACAGAATCAATTTATGCTCAACTGTACTTGACAGCTGACACAGGTGACCATTTCATTAGGGAATTAATGAATTTATTATTGGAAACGGTGCCTTCCTTCCTCACGTCACATCAAACATCCTCCGACATTTTCTTTTTCATCAAACTTGATCAGGTGTCATATTTCTAATATTTCTATCTGATTGATTAAATGTGTGTGTGAAATCACAGAGATTTCTATTGTTCGAGTGTTTCGCTATCGAGTTATGTGATAGCAATAAAGACAATGAGAATCCCATGGCAATACTAAGAAAACAGAACGGTGGTAAACTCAGAGCAAGGTAATTCCTTATTCTCACTTTTCTTTTCTTTCCTTTTTTTTTTAATTTTTCAACTTTAGGATGACATGAAACAAGAGCCGTACTTTTATGAAATTACACGTTTTACACCCAGTGGGCATCTTTTAGGAGTTTTGTTTTTTCTCTTGTGGTCAGCTTGACCAAGTGATCTACCTCATGGTTCTGCCAGAGCCGGCTGGTGTTGTGGGGTTTGCAGGTAAAGCCCCTTTTTCATCAGCGTGGACGAAGCAGAACAAAAAGCCACGCTCAGGAGCTGGCTGAATCGGACTTGTACCGTTTTTTGTCTCCCACGCGCAGCATTTCTCTCAGAAACTTTGTGCTTCGCCTCGTCTTTATTCGTCACCACATCTGTCCCGGTTGTTTCTTGTTTTTGCACGACGTGATGAGTGTTGTTCGGTTGTGATGCTCCATTTTAGAGATTCAGAAGTAAGACAACTACCTGCTTCTCCCCAAAAGTAGTTGGTCTACTGTGTGTTTGAAACAAATGAATGCAGGCTTCATGCATTCATTTGCCTTTGCCATTTTAGAGAGATCTTAGATGACTCACCACTTTCCCATCACCTTTTGTGTTCGCCCTTTAAGGAAAATCACTAATCCTGGGTTACGACGGTAAATCTCTCCAGATTAACCAGATTAAGGTGATTTGGTTATAAAATGCTGAACAATCTGGAAGAATTAAAAAAGTAACTCAAATCTTGCCTGCTGCAAAATAAACTGCAACAATCATGCATGAAAATCAGCAGTATTTCATTTTAATTTGATGGAAGTTGAAACTCACATGGCTGATGACATGTGTTTAAAAGGTTGAATAAATTATTTACATTTAGGGCCAAGAGTGGAAAAAAGTGGGTTTTTTTCCTTGCTTTTTTAAAATTTTCTTTAAATTTATGATTTCCAAATTAAGAAATTGACTGAGAAACAAGATGTATGGTCACAGCTGCATGGTCACGGTGCTTCTCCTCAATCGGTTGTACTGTAGCTGTAAATGCTCACAGTAGGAAAATACAAGCAGTAACAGGCTCTTTTTTACTGAGTGTACTGTCTTATTCTGAACACTTGTTGCTGGAACAAAACAAAAAAAAAGGAAAAATATAAAAAGAAAATGTTCATGTTATCCTCATTGCTTCCCCGGTCACCTTCAGCTGATTCTCAAACAATCTTCTCCTCGCTCTCCTTTGAAAAGACTGGAATAAAATCAGTGCTTAATAAAAGGCTCTTCTCTTTCTCACACCCGACTCCTGACTGGTATTTTTTGCGTATGTATTTTCTTGCTATTGCACATTTGTCTTGATGTTTAAATGATAGAGACAATCATGATAAATAAATCGATATATGGGTTATAGTGTCAGCTGGGATTGGCTCCAGAGCCTAAAAGGATGAGCAGCACAGCCAATGGATGGATCTGCTGTTATTCTATTCATACACATTGTTAACAAGTCCCATGGACATTCCAGTCATGCTTTAGCTCATTGCTCAATACTTTCCATCTTCCCATACACCCCATCTGTGGCCCATTCATTCCCACCATACATGTTAATCTTATCAACATTTGCAGCTGTGGATTTATGATACATACACATTTTATACAAGTTTGACTCTTTGGCGCCAGGCTTCAGATACACAGGAAATACTTGTTAGGAGGATAAATTCATTAGCGGTTGAGTTTTTTTTCATTACCTCCATGAAGTAGGTTATTTTTGTTTGTTTGTAGGCAAGTTTACACAAAAACAACTGGATGTATTTCGTGGAATCGTCTATAAAGGGGAATGATTACACATGATCACAAGTTTGGTTTGTTTAAAGCCGTGTCTTCAGTTTGTATTGAAAGGTCAGATAATTAGAGTTAAATGATGAACCAGCTTCTACACACTGAGCCATATTCTGCATTATGGGTAAATTCATCTTTAGGTCTGAAATTGAGCTGTGACCATAGACTGTATATAAAGAGGCTGTGACCTATAAATCCAAAATCTAACTGATTAACAGCCATAAAACAATAAAACACCCAACTGAGATTTTAGGAAATCTCAGTTTAAAACCTTTTATGATTACATTTTTTTTAAATCATATAATCCCCTCAATAATCCACTGACCACTTCATTGATCAATTTGGGGGTTTAACTGGTGTCTGGCAGCAGGGGGCGCTGTAAGACAAATCTGACCAACACCTCTGTCCTCCAGAGCTACTTTTCAATCTGAGATCATTTCCTATGATCTTATGTATATAAGCTCGGATGGATCGGATGATGACTGAGTGCTACATGTGTGTGCTCATGATTCTCTCCTGCGCTATTTCAGGAACACGGCCTTTGTAGTTTCACTCTTACACCGGATCTCCCTCTTTAAGCTCAGACTTAGTGCAGCTGATCCCGGAGACATAAAGGCACCATGCCCCCATCTCTTACCCGTCAAGAGGATCAAACCACCGGGCTGCTAGATTAGTCATCACACCCACTTCCACACACACCACCCTTCCAACCCCAACTCCAAGAATATATGTCACATACAGCCCAAGCACACACACACACACACACACACACACACACACACACACACACCTGTCAGTCAAGTGCCTATTGTAAGGACATCAACTCTTTGAACATAAGATGCCAAAGTCTCTCTCTCTCTTTCCTCTCCTCCGCTCTGTCTGCCTCTTAATTCTCCACAGCTGAGGGGACACATGGCATTGATCCCTCGAGAAATCCCAAGGTCAGACTTCGGGCACAGACGTTAAAGAGGGGAGGCCTGCCACAGTATCCGATGTCATTTCATTTAGTGTGATATGCACATCAGTGATTCAACACATGGGATGCTCCCTAAGAATATAACACTGCTACCATCACTGCTTGTTACTCCATAATTTCTAAATTGGTCCAAAAGTGTCTCGGTTTTAGAAAGAAGATCAAACTGTCAAATAGACGAGACACTGCAATTTCACTGTTTATTAAGTCCTTACCTGCAACAGCCTTGAAGGAGTGAACTGGTGCATTGCTGTAGTCTGAGCACAGGATCAGAATGTTAATTAAAAATACTAGTGCTTGTAATTCAAGTGTTTTGACATAATATTGAACTAAATCATAACTGTAGCCGGATCTAAATATGGTCTTATAAACAATTCTATAAGCCTGTTGTTGAATCTGTACCTGGTTGTAAATATTAGATAATCTGATATAATCAAATATCTAATGGTCAGTTAAATATGTGTTGCTGAAGTATAATTCTTTACCTCAAAAGAAATCCTTTACAGAGATTGATTTAGAGCTTAAAGCTAATTTAAATGAAGAGTATCATGCTGATCTACCGGACCTGTGACATACCTTAATCAATTATCATTGGCCGTTTTGGAAGTCCTGGATTTCCAAATGTAGTGAAAATTCTTTTTCAAAAAAATATAGAAACAGTAGAACCACAGAGCAATTCAGCAAGACTCTAAAACACCTCCCACCCCCCATTCTTGTCATTTTAACAATATACACTATATACAGTCCCTCAATGTGTGTCCCCTGAACTTATAGCAGTCAATACACAGTCAATAAACTAACTACATTTATAAGCTGCTTCTAACATATTTATCTTTTCTGCTCTGAATGTTTATCCTTTATTTTAAATAACACGTCAAATACATTTTCCTCAAAGATGGTTGGAAGCATGTTGATTGACTGACTCTCGATTGGTCGAATACATGTAGCAGCAGCGCTTCCATCCTCCTGATCCCTGCTGCGCACACTCTGGCTCCAATTGTGGGAGGAAGTGTAGAAATGTCGTCCATCTTAATATTCAGTCTGGGGTTGAAATGTGATTTTACAACTATTTAAAACAATGTTTATCTGTGCACTATGTCCTTGTTTTAAGCTATTTGTGAAAATAACTCAACTATTGGCTGTTTTGATTACATGCACTCACGGCCCCCTGGAGATGATCATTAACTTAATTCCTCTAGCGCCATCATCTGGTCATAATTCATTTTCCTTCAATACTTTATAATAAAAAAACTTTGTCTTTGGTGCTAATTAGCAAACGTTTGCATGCTACCACTTATTGAACATGTTAAACAAGATCAGTGTGCTAGCACATTAGCTGGCTGATGTAAGCAGTGAGCTGAAGTGCAGCCTCAGTGTTTCTGGTTCAGCTGCAGACTCCCAGTCCTGTTTTATATCTGAGCAGAGAGCCTGAGGATAGAAAATGTAAAAGCCTTCGAGACAAATAGTGGGATTTTGAGGGGTTCGTAGTTTAAATCTTTTGACAGTGTGCAGCCTATGTACGTTTATTTTGCTCCACTCGCATATGCATGTGTGTGTACACCTGCATTCCAGCCATTCCACTGTAAGAAGGAGGCTGTATTACAGCACTGGCTTCCTCCTCGTCCTCCTCCTCATTACAGGAAGTAATACAAGTTCAGCACACACACACACACACACACGTTTGTAATTCTATCTTAGTGAGGACACTCATTCAAACCTAATTCTAATCCTAACCCTAAAACCAAGTCAAACAGCCCATTGAAAGTGGGTCAGAAAATGAGGCCAAAATGTCCTCAATCCATAGGTTCTAAACTCAAATAGGTCCTCACAAAGATATCAGTACAATTACACACAAACACACACAATCAGAACTTACAGAAAAAAGCCCATTACTTTGATTCAAAGGTTGTTGTGTTGCAGCCATAGCCTCCACAGCTCAACACAAGCAAGCACATCAGTTAGATCATCTCTTAATAAAGAAGTTCACTCCTGTGGAGGTCGCACAGCCAGCAGTTGTTACTGTCAGTCATTATCATCACAGCCTGCCCCCGCACACACCCACACACACACACACA